AACTCATGAAAATAATTAATTTTTGGAATTTTTTCACCACAAAATGAGCATCTATTTCTCTCCTCACACGTTGGTAACAAACGTACAACATATAAAGCACTAAGTACAACTTGTAATTAACGACCCCAACCGTCATAATCAAATAACCAAATTCCAATCTCATTTTTCTTCCAATTTTGCAACAAACTCTTAACTCACCATTTTATCAAACGCCATAATGGCCGCCGCCCCTCCACCGCCGGCGATCCTCCCCGTCTCAAACCAAAAAACAGCTCCCGCCGCCGAAGAATCCCAGCCTCCCGTCGCCACCCCTGCTGTTCGAGCACTCATCAATCACATCACCGCAACCGTTCGCTCTGGTCTCTCCGATCGCCGTCCATGGCCCGAACTCGTCGACCGATCTGCCTTCTCCAAACCTGAATCCATTACCGATGCTACAACAAGGATCCGAAAGAACTACGCATATTTTCGCATCAATTACTTCACCGTTGTCGCCGCCGTAATCGGCGTTTCTCTCCTTACAAACCCTTTCTCTCTCATTACTCTCCTTGCGCTCCTCGCCGCCTGGATCTTCCTCTACCTCTTCCGCCCGACCGAACCGCCGTTGGTGGTGCTCGGACGTACGTTTTCGGAGCGTGAAACCCTAGGCATGTTAATCGTTTTGAGCATCATTTTGGTGTTTTTAACGAGCGTTGGATCTATTCTCATATCGGCTGTGCTTGTTGGATCTGGAATCGTATGTGCTCATGGTGCATTCAGGGTTCCGGAGGATCTGTTTCTCGACGAACAAGAGCCTGGAGGTCCCCCCGGATTTTTATCGTTACTCGGCGGCGCGGCTTCCAATGCTGCTGCATCCGCCGCTCCGATCATCAATCCAGTTCGTGCTTGATTTCGGATGTAGAAAATCTAATAAAAGGTGTGAAAATTATACTATCGTTTTGTTTCTGAATTCTTTTGAATATATGTGAGAATCCATATTATTTTTAAGGATTCTTGTCCATATCTTTTATGAGGATTATTGAAGCTTGATTGTTGCTTCATTAGATAAAACTGATATTCTTGTAATCTTTGATTCATGATAGATTCAAATACAATGTAAACCTTCATATTTCTTCTATTAACGTTTACTTCATAATTCTTTTGAGCCAACATTTTAGATCATATTTAAAACATAATTATGATAGACATTTTCAATTTATTCAGTCATTATTTTGCAATATAATGATTTAGATCATGAATTGATTTTTTTTTGTTGGTGAAATTCTAATATAATTACGAAATGCCAACATTTTTCAGAAACCAAATTTATATATTTATTATACAATTACTTGTATTACACTTAAAGAAGATTAATTAGCGAGGTTTAATTGTTAGCTGCAATATTTTCCGCTTGAATATTTTCAATTATGGAGGTTTTATCATCAACAACCTTTTTCAAAATTTGTAAATTTATAAGCTCAAGCCAAAAAAATTCCTATCATACGTATATTTTTATTTATTTATTTTTATTTGTTAGGTACTAGTATAAATTGTAACATATTTAATAAAGTTAACAAACTTAGAAAAAACAAAATAAAATATCTAAAATCATAAACACTAAAAATTGAAAAGTTATTTGTACACAATATTTTTTTCTCTATATACAACGATATTTGTTTTAAAATGTTATATTGTACAACTATACAAAACATAAAATGTTGTATTGTACAATTATACAAATCCGCATCAAATTGATCACACAACTTTAGAGAAATTTTAACAAGAATTATATTTGCATTGGTATCGTCAAAATAATATTTTTTATAAATTTAAAATAATATTTATTTCTAAATTACTCAAGTAGAACAAAAATACAACTTAAATAGTCAAATGTTTTGAAAAAAGTTTGAGATATCTAAACAAAACAAATATTTGTTTATGTTTAATGAAATTAACGGTTTTGAGGTTAAATGTTGTCATTACTTTTTTAGGTGTATTCGTGTATAAGGATTCTTTGTATGTTATATATGTCTATTTAGAGTATTGGGGTTGTTATTGCCCGTTATTGTCGACGTAGATAGAACATAATGTCGTGGTAACGGTTGGAATACCGTCCCAGCCTCGCGTTATGGGATGAGATGTTATCGTCGCAACGGGTTGAAACGCGAACATTTTCCATTTGAACGGTCAAATTGACTGTTGAGAAACTGTTTAATTAAACAAAAATTACTTAATAAATTTACCTATAAATACATATTTTACACAACATTTTACGTACACGATTCTTTTCTCTCTCTCAATATTTACAAAAATCATTTCACTTTTCAACCAAATTATGGAGCAAAACACAAACACCCATCCACCAAACACAAACCCACAAACAAACACAATTGCTCCGGTCGGATTCGTGCAATATGAAAACTACATCAACCTACTCAACTCTCAAACCTCGCCCCAAATACCATTCCAATGAAGCTTTTTTAATCCCACCACACCCCAATGCAATTTCCTACATCACCATACATTCAACAAAATCTTGTTGGTCATAACCCAAATCTACAACAAAACATTTACAATATTTTTTCTTCCATGCCACAAATAACCACCACCCACACAACCATTGGGAGATAACGTTCCCGAAACGCAATCGGGAGGTAGTAGGAGAGGGAGTGAGAGAGGGAAAGGGAAAGGGAAAGTGGTCGCAGAAAGTGAAGAACTTCCACTATGGTGGACACCGGATGAGGAGTACGCTTTGGCGGCCGCGTGGTGTGGGACGTCAAAAATTGAGCGCCAAGGAAATGAGATGAGGAAAGTTTCTTTTTAGGAAGTCGTGCAAGCAAGATTTCACGCTCTTATGAAGAAAAATTCATATTGCAATATCGATATGCTTAGTAGGAAGTGGACTCCAATGAATCATAGGTGCACCAAATTCAATGGGATCTACAACAAACTTGTTTCGGAAAAGCAAAGTGGCGCCAACGATTTTGATTTGTTCAGAGCCACAAAAGAATAATATCGCGTCGAAATGGGTCATGTTTTCGAGTATGAAAAAGCATGGGAGATGTTGTGATCCGATCCAAAATGGCTTAAAACTCCAACATTGGCGGAGTTACAATCGAAGACGTCATGAAATTCGAGTTCGTTCGACGTTTCCGATGCACAGACTAACATCGACCTCAACGCTGACACCGATGAATCCCGGACAACATCGAAGAGATCTCCCCGCTACGAAAATCGGTAGGACGCGAAAAAGTGAAGCACGCTCAACGACATGCAGATGAAGTTGGAAAAAGGGCACAAGAATCGGGGGAATTGAAAGGGAAGTTTGACACACAATTTAATAGCAAAAGAAATAGTTGAAGTGCAACGTGAGCACTTGGATTTCTTTCGTAGGCAAGCACGGGAAGAGAGGGAGCATTGTGAGCAAGCACAAATGAGGAACCAATTGGAAATTCTTCGCTTTAGTGAAGAATGTTTGTCGCCCCAAGATTTTGAAGTGCTTCGAGCGATAAAGGAAAAGATTCGGAAGACTTATTTGGGCTAGGATTATCGTTTTAAATTAGGACTATTGTAATATCTTTTTTAGTTTTTAAATGTTATCTTTAATTAAAAAACTAGGTTTTATTTAAATAACATGTTTTATTAAATCGAAATAAGTAAAAAGGAAATAAATCGAAAAAAATGATGACGTGGAAATTAGTAAGTGTTATAACATGTTGATCATTTCCTTAACCGGTATTATAACACCAAGGGTGAGGTGGCACCAAAATGGTGTTATAACATGTCTTAACATGTTGTCCATATATAGTAGTCTAAGGGTTGAACATTTGGTCGAATCGGTCGGATTAGAACCGGAACAGTTCCAAAGTCGGACTAGTTTGAGAGGATTATGGGAATCGCGGACCGTACCTATTGAGACATACTAGTTTAGTTACCTATTTTACGATTTTTGGATCTGTCAGACTGGTACAACATTCGATGCGTATGTTACAAGTTGGAAAAAGTGGCGAAAATTAGTTTTTTTATGCTAAACTTAATTTTTTGGGAAAGAAAAATATTACGAGGCTTAAAACTAATACGTAAGGTTTTGATGTAGCATAAACAATGAATTAGGAATTTAGGATTAATTATAATATAGAAAAGAAGAAAACATAGAAGCTGAAAACTTGCAGCTTTGATATCCCGAATGAATGTAACTCGATGAATATGAAACCAAAATTGATGAAATTATAACCTAAATTGAAATGCAAACTACAAACTACATGATGGAAAAGATCTCATGTCAATACGACTTCAAACGAATGCGTTATGCAATTTTTAATAGTTTCATAAATCACACATACAAACTAAAAACTTGAATAACTTTCAGCTTTGATATACCGATTCCAGGGAATGTAACTCATTGAATATGGAACCAAAATTGATGAAATTATAACCTAAATTGAAGTACAAACTCTAAACTACATGCCGGAAAAGATCAAATGTCAATATGACTTCAAAAAACGAATTATGTAAATTTTAAAATTTTCACAAAATACACATAAAAGCTGAAAGCAATAAAAAGCAAGAACCAGTCCAAAATCGAGAACCGGTATACCGAACCGATAAAGCATTGGTATTATTTGAGTGTGATTTCATGTACAAAAGAACCGGTCTGATAGTATAAAACCGGTCCAAGTACGGGTCATGGTCCAGATGTTCACCCTTATGTCTGTTGATGCTAGTTTCATGTTTATTTTGTGTACTATTAGGGTGGATGGAATAGCTTCGGGCTCCTGATTTTTGGATGGCGGTACCGTCACTACCGCCAGCCAGAGGAACACCTCTACCTTGTGATTGATACCGCATTTAGTACCGCCAGCCAGAGGAACACCTCCACCTTGTGATTGGTACCGCATTTAGGCCCTTTGATGGGATGAGGAACTCTATCTCTCTCTCCAATGACCTAAAGACTTGTACCAATGTTGTTTTTTATGTTTTTGATTTAGTAGATTGAATGGGCCGGGAAAAATATTGTTTCCATGCATTGTAAGTTATGAAAAATGGAAGAGTAATAGGAAAAAAAAAAGTTGATGTGGAACGAATGTGCCAGTAGGGTTGAATGGATTCTATTTCTATCACCCTACATCCCACCTTGTATAAGCTTTGTTGTTGGTTGATTAGAAATTATCTCCTCTATGTTGATAATTTTATTTAAGTCAATGTAAGCTAAAATTTCCAAATTGGATCAAAACCTGTAGATTGGACCAAACCATTAGGACGAATATGTAATTTTACTCTTAAAGTTATAAAATCGGCGCCATAGTAGTTATGTAGGCTACAACGAGCTACCTAACAAGAATAATAAAAAAGCCAAATTAAATTATTGTAATTATAGAGATTTTTTATTAATAACCCAAAATAACATCGAATTTCAACATGACAAGGCAATTTGGCATCTGAAAATTCAGTCACAAGTCACATATAAACTTCCTAATAAGCTTAGAAGGTAGACCCGTTCCATCCAAAGAAAGAACCCTGAAAAATAGTAAAAAAATAATAATAATTGTATTAGTTTAGCAATCTACATTTATTTATTTGTTTATATGTTATCTTACTTTCATTTGTTCCTATTACAAATTACAATATTTATATTGAAAGCAAATTTATGTAATAAAAATAAATGAAAGGTGTTATAATAAACAAATAAATGAAAGTATGTTATTATTTCTTGCATTTAGGCTTTAGCTCTTGTTTTCTGCTATTTTCTCAAATAAATTTTCCAGAAACATTGCATCTATTCGTCGGGACATTGGGTGTATAAAATATAAATAATAATAAAATTGTAAATGATTTTATTGTATTGATTCTAAAAATAGTGAAGGGTGATTTACATGATCTAGAACTGGTGTAAAGCATGCAAACACTGTGCATTTTCTTGACTTTGATGACCCTAAATACACACCAAAATTTAAATGAGAACACAAATGACACACATTTTGAAAAGGACTAAATGCAAGTAAAAGCAATGTACTTTTTTTCATATACTTGTGTATTATATTATTATTATAATATCATATAACATGTAAAACATTTAACATTTAAATTACTAAACTTGTCTAAAAATCTTAACTACACTTTGAAAATATTTGTATAAAATAAGGGGAAACGGATTTCTATTCAAGTTCAAAAGGAAAATATAACTTTTTGACTATCTGACCAATTTGGACTGAATTTGACCAACTTTTACAATGACACTGATGTAATTGGTAGAAATTTCAAAGTATAATGGTGTGATAGAATAGAAAAACGAAAGCAAATGAATGAAGGTAGATTGGTATTTTTTGCATTTAGCCCTTTTGAGAATAGTGAGAAGATGAGAATAAATATCTTGCCTTTGAATCGTAGAATTTGAGGAAGAATCTTGACTTGGGAATAGACAATTTTGACTCAAGAATTTCTGCAACTGCAGCACTCAGCTTTTTGTTAACATCAGCATTAAGTCCTCCAATTGACACTAATTCACCATAGGCTGCTGGTTGCTCATTACCTCCAAAAGCTATGGGTATAGAACCCTTCAACACAATCATCACATACTGTGGAATAGAACATCAAATTGTCATACAGTTTTCTTTAGATTAAAGAACGGATGCATAAGTATTATGAATAAGAAGTTTCTTTTGAGAAAAAGCCTTTGGAACACCATCAAATTTAACGAATCACAGACTATATAGTTTAATTTACTCAAACGAGTCACCATAAATCTCCAGTTAATTGTCTTGGACTAATCAATTTACTCAATTGCGTAAAGATAAATTATGGCGATATGTCTCCAATCGAGAATACTGAAGTTTTACTCAAACCGACTTTGGAATTTGAATCTGCAAAACACATACTCTGGTAAACCCTAAAATTCGAAATTTACAGCGAATGGAGCTTAGCGTGAATTTACAGTAAATTAAGTTTAGGATGAATCTAACATGAACATGCTCTATGACTTTAATCGAAATTTAGCAAACGGATATAGAGAGAAAGAGAGAGTTATACAGCTTCTGGTTTTCCGATGAGCTTGGCGACGGCGGAGGTTGCTTCGGAGAGGATGGAGGACGTGTCAATGGCGTCCAAGTTGACGTTGGTTGACAGATTTAGGCACGGCATCTTCTTCTTCTACACGCACACTCTTTGTCTTGGAAAACCCTCAAAACACGCACTAACGAGACCTAGAAGCTTCGCCAGAATGGGCTCATGTAGTTTGTCTTTTTAACCTTTAACAATCTCCAATTGGTATTTCAACCCAAATGCAACATTTTGGCCTAAAAAAATGGAGAATAGCAATCTTTTTAAAAACCTATTTTTTAGTTTATCTCTCTTGATAGTTTTTAGTTCAACCAGTTTCATCAATTTCAGTGAAAAAATTAAAATGATCTAGAAGTCAAAAAAACTATGTATTTTTTTTATATGTTTGAAAACAGTGGCGGATACAGAAAGAAAAATCAGGGGTTGCACAGATTCTTTAGGGGTTGCACTATCAGAAACTTTTTGTTACCAAAAGAAGTTTTCGTCACAAAATCGTCACTAAACCAGTGAATTTACACTAAATTTATAATTATCAGACTTTGTGATGGATTGCTGACGGATTAGTGACGAATTTGTGACGGATTTCCAATGGATTTGTGACGGATTTCCAACGGATTTGTGACGGATTTCCGAACAAAAACACGAAATTTACATTTGACGGGAAAATTGGAGGGGTATCCCGGGCTACCCCGAGCTACATAGTAGCTCCGCCCCTGTTTGAAAAGCTTTACATGTGTTTTTTCCTATTAAAACAAGCATGTATTTTTTAGAGTTATGACGTTTTTGTCACTGGATATCTAGTGTACAAAAATATATTTGATGATCTGAGAAAATACTTCTTCGATCAACTTTAACGAAAAGTCTGGAACGACCTAGAAGTAAAAAATGGTGTATCTTATATGTTTAGAAAGCCCAGGATGTGTAGTTTTCAATGGGAAAAACGGTTATTATCATTGTAGCCCAACAAACTTTCTTATATTGGTTTAAATGGTCCCTTATGACTATTTTTTGCATTTTAGGGGCACATACTTGTGTTTTACGGTTTGAAAATGTCATTTTACCCATTTTAGCTCGTATTCCTGCCTAGTCACCTGCTAAGTAAGCAGGTTAGTGAATACATATAACCCGGTGAGTCAGTGCAAACTCACTAATGAGTCGACTCGATGACACACTTGCTGGAATAGGGTCACCCATCCACATCTCTTTCACATTTCTTCTTAACCTATACGTACACGCTTTTTGTTCTGATGACTTTTTTTCTTCTTCGTGCGAATATGCACATGGAGTGTTTGAATCATGGCTTCATCCATGCTGAGAAAATTCATAGGTACAAAGACCATCAAGTGCAACACCATGAAGCTACGATTATCCCATCCGAATTTTGGTTTTTTCATTTTTAAAGATCTTTCACAATCAACAACAGTGGTGAGGTTTTCGTCCATTATCTGTGTTCGTATCAACATTTAAACAACAAACCAATTTC